AGTGTGCGCATCGTCATTCAGCCCCTTGTTCTCAAAGATACACCCAGCTGCGGTATCTTTGAAGATGGTGCAAAGCCTAGAGGGAGGGACGATATAGTCAACTCGCCCCCACCCCACCGAACTTACTGTGCTCACGCTCACTTAATGAGAATAGAAAATGACAAAATGTCACAACTTCTCTGGAAGGCAGTTGGTAATATTTATCGGATTTAAAATGTGAATACCCTGACCCAATAATTCTAACCTATGAAATTATTCTATGGAGCTAACAGGACAATCATGTCAAGACACATACACATATACAAGAATGTTTGGTTTTTTTTATAATATTAAAATTACAAAATGGAAAAAACCTGAATGTCCTTCAATATGGGATTTTTAGCCAAATTTTAGTATAGCCAGATAATAAAATAAGCATTATTAAAAGGATGAGCTACACCTATATGGATTGATATGCTTATGCCCACAATATTGTATTATTTTTAAAGTTATAAGAGTATTAATAGTATCATTAATAGTATATCGTCCCTCCCTCTAGTTTAAAATATGTTTCTAAAAAAAAACCCACCAACATTACACACATATCCCCAGAGGCCTCTTGAACTTTAAATCAAGAGAGGCTAAAAAACAACAGGAAAAGTCAGCACAGCCCTTCCTGAGACAGACTTGTGGTGACCACATGTAGCCATTATTTAGGAATGCCTTAACTTAGACCAATAGTTCTCAACGTGTGGCCCCTGGACCAGCAGCATTAACATCCTCGGGGACTTGGTTAGAATGCAAATTTCCAGGTATTACCCCAGACCTGCAGGATTTTTTTTTAATTCGGGACATGGGGTCCTCCATGGAACTGAGGCCCATAAAGGCTTGAGAATCCCCCATGTGGACATCTGAGAACAGTCACCGAACTAGGGGACAATCTGTCACCTCTGGGTCACGTGCCAGAAAGACTCCCATGGGTAGGGTGGGGTTTCTCAGGAAAGACATGGAGGAGGTCTTAGATTAGAGTGAGGAAGAAGAAAAATCTCTCTTAGTCTCTCGGAGGCCAAGACTTGGTTTGGCCAGGACTCTCCGGATGGCGTTCTAACGCCATTCTGGGTCAGAGGACCGAAAGCAGGGCCAGCTGGGCCAGCCGTCGGGTCAGAGGACCGACTGGGCCTCGGCCGTAGGCGTCGAGATTCTCTGAGATTTTTTTTTTACTCTCATTCCCTTCATCCTCAAAGCTCCAGAAAAGTCTCCTGAAAAGTAATTCTGGTCTCAGCCGTTCTGTGGGAAACCGTGGAAGGTCACAGAAGAACGGAACAGGAGAGAGAGTGGCGTCCATCCCCACTCAGGCCAGAAGGCGGAAGCGGTCGCTGCCAGGTTAGCAGGGGCGCTGTACCCAGCCGGGGGCGACCTCGCAGACGTCACCAACGAAAACTGCACGGTGTGCTGACAGGGGAGCAAGGAAGAACTCTGAGCACACTTGAGGTGGTGCCCTGGGAAAGGCTCAGAAAACAGCTGGAGGACAGACGCTTGGCAGGTCTCGGGGCATGGAAGGGAGCGACATCTAGAAGCAAGTTGGAAGGGCTCAGTCCGTCGTCATCTGGGATCGAGCAAGAGACATAGATAGATCTGCAGAGCTCGATCTGAGAGACAGAGCGTTAGGGCTTCCCTTCAAAGCACTTACCGTAATTTCAGTTTTACGTTTATTCGTGGGATCGTTTAATTGCCTTTCTCTCCCTCTAGACTGCAAGCTTCACAAAGGCAGGAACAGTCTATGTTCTCACTCACCGTTGTAGCCCAGCTCCTAGCTGGCATATAGTAGGTACTCAAAAAATAGGTTGGATAAATTAAAAATTTTTAAATTAAAACACTCTGGAGTGTTTGATTATTCTTTCCCTGTATGATTGACTTTTTGTTTTTGTCCCCCAGAAATATATTATCGTGTGAAAGGACATTGCCAAAAAGAGTGTTATCAAAGGATGAACTCTCCTTTCTGGAAAGAGTCATCTCATAAATACAGTGCTGTGGCTTTAGTCTCTGAGCTGTAAATACTAGTTTAGAAAGGCAAAAGAATTTAGGTAAAAGGTAGGCTGTATTTCACTGGAAATACACACGAATACACCCAACAATGGTCATCAGTGAGGTCCGGCCTGAGGCCTTAGACACCGCAACATCCTGAGCCACTTGGAAATCAAAGCTGAATTCTATGCACAGGAGTTTCAGCATGAAGTGTTTCTACGGCATTATGATTTACTGAAAACTGACCATCCACACATGACAAAGCAGCATGTACTACCTTCAGCCAACACCAGGTGTCTACGACAGTCATTACGCCAGGTAGTGTGGCGTCACAAAGACACGAGACCCACCCACCCTGAGGGCAGGGAGTATCACCGCCAGCCACTCCGAGCGCCGGGGAACAGAGAGGGGAGGCTGTTTCAGAGCGGGCTGCAGAAATCGAGACGATAAATGGAGAAGTTTAGCAAATGATCTCCAGCCCCCTAGCCTAAGACGCTTTCCCTGACCTGGAGAGAAGTTATAAAATTTAATTTTCATAAACAAACATTTGGCATCTTTTACTTCAGACAGCAACAGGGCCTGTCGTGGTGGTGCCACCTGGAGTCGGCTGTCCATCTGGGGTCAGCCGTCCATCTGGTGCCTCACTGCCCCAGGGCTTAATGTGACTGCACAGGGGCACGACTCCTACAGCAGATGTGACACAGAGCAGGCTCGCCTCAAGCCGCAGCAGGCACTCCCCAGCCACTGCAGTTCTGGGGAAGCATCTCTGTGGCCCGGCCACTACGAAGCGCCTTACGTTTCACTTTAGATGTTGACTTCACACAAAACTCCGGACAAAGGGGATGCGGGAGTTAGTCTCCCCGCCCCCCACCCCCCACCCCATTCTCCTTGAACTCAGGGTCAGACTTCCGGGGAACCAAATGCCCAGATGCTTATCTGAGAGTCCAGCGGTCAGGACGGGATGACTCCGGCTCTCTCCTGAAAGGACCTTCCGAGGGAGCCCGGCCACCCTCCACCTCGGCGGGGAGGCTGGGTAATTGCCAGGCTGACCCCTGGAGCCTCTGGCCCTGCTCACCTTTCACTGTAATGCATGGCGCAGCATAATCATGAAATGTGCTTATTAATTTTACTCATTTCCCACTGCGCCCTTCTGCCCTAGGCTGGGTGTTAGGAGAAAATGATAGGGATAGATTCCGCTCCTGTCAGACGTACCAAGACGTTCAGAGAGCCAGACTGTCAAAGGCCATCTGCCACCCACTGGCCAAACATTCGAGATGACCCCAAAGGTACAAGCAGAACGTGAAAGACACAGACCAACAAAAGAGCACAGCAAGAAGGCCGGGAGACCCATGCCCTGGGTGTGAGCCCCCCGGGAAAGCCCTCCCAGGAGAGCAACCCCGGGGCCGGCCCTCCCAGACACCCGGGCACCCGGCTCTGCCCCGATGCACGGCGTGCTGCTTCATATCTCATTCATCAAAAGATACTCTGGCTTCTCAAATCAGGAACGTTTTTATTAGCTTCCCCAAGAGTTTATGGCACAAAGCCATACCTAATGATTCTATTTTATGGCAAGTTATACATTCAAACGGTGCTTTGAAGTCAGACAGCAGGTAAGACTCAAATCTTTGTCAGAAAAGACTCCTTCATTCTTTCGCTTTAAAAATGTTTATAAGATTTCAAACAGTTGGGAAAGTGATGAGGAGCGTTTTAACAGGCTTCTTCTCCTTCCTCGCCCGGGACCCAGCGCCGGCTGACCCAATACCTACTGCGCTGTTCTCGCTGGGGGCTGATTCTGCCCACCAACCAAGCCCCTCCTCCTGGGGACGTTCGGTAATTTCTGGACACAGTTTTGGTTGTCACAGCTGGGGGGGGGGTGCGCGGTGCTTTTGGCATCTAGTGGGGAGAGATCAGGGATGCTGCTAAACAGCCTCCGGTGCACAGGACTGCAGCCCCGCAAAACATAATTATCTGATTATCTGGCCGGAAATGTCAACAGCGCCGAGCTTGGGAGCGCTGCCTTAGGGCTCCTCCTGGGCCAGGCACTGCAGTCCTCCCACCCCTGGGACATCAGGCACTCATCCAGTCACGGCGGCAGTTCCAGCTCTGGCTGCCGCTCCATTCTTTCATTCCTAAGTATTCTTGGTGCACACTTTCAGTGAACGAGAATAAAATGCTGTCATAAACAAGATGAGGCAAGTGAAAGCGAGACCACCTGAGACTCTCAGGACACATGGCGACAGCATTAAACCCTCCTGACGTTACTCTGCATTTTTCAAGCTCCACTCAAATTGGCATTAATCGACTGAAACAACAAAATAACCAATTCCAGCCATCGGTACTACCGCACACCACAGAGCAGTCTGCTGAGAAGCAAGGCGAGTCCTCCGCTCAGCTGGGGTGCTGTGGTCAGTCAGAGGGCTGGACTTGGGAGGGGTCTGGTCCTGACTCGCCATTCCCAAGGACGGGCACTGTGGCACTTTACTTCCCGGAGCTTGGGTCCTCCTGGTCAGCAAAGAGGAGATAAAGCTACTTGCTCTTCCGGTGCAGTCGTGAGAGCTAAATGAGTTTGTGGGGAGGAACCAGTTTTGTAAACTATAGAGAGCTGTATGAATATACGGCAATACATTTATACATGTAGGGCAATCGATGACAACCACCAAGGGTCCTTCAGACTCGTGGATCCTTTTCATGAAATGTCACAACTAGAAGTGACTTTGGAAATCAACTAGTCCAACTCCTGAATTTTGAAGAAGGTGAAACTGAGCATCACAGAGGTCAAGTGATCAGCCACAGAAACAGCCTCGGTGGGCTCAGGTACTGTGGCTCCCAAACTGGGACCCTCCCCACACGTGCCCATTGGTGACGCATCCCCTCCCTGCTTAAGTTCCTGGAGGGAAGAAACATATCCTACACACAGGTTCAGAGAGTCTTGAACACAGGAGACAAATATTTGCTGGATCAGTGAACAAAAGGTACAAAGCAGGATCCTGACTTACTACATCATAGCCTGTCGGGCCTCGGTTCCGAGAAGCCACCACCCCCACTCCCGTGATGGGATCCATTGACGTCTCTGGCAAGGCTTCCGAAAGGTCTTTGACTTCAGGCATGGTGGATTGGTCCTGGTTCCGAAAAGGGGAAAGAAAGCACAAAATTCAAACTGAGTGTTTAAAGTGAACAATGCAAAGCCTCAAACAGACAGAGCCAGGTTCCTGGGGCGAGTATCCCGAGCTAAGCTCCACACACCTGAACTGGCTAAAGGATCCCTGACCTTACCTGAGCCTTTCCTCAGATCAAGAATTCAAAACATCGCTGGCCCCTGTTCCTCTCAAGTTAGTTCTGAATACTGATAACATAGTTAATGAGGGCTTGTCCCTGCTCTGAGTAGGGAATTTTGACTCAAACCCAAAAGCAAAACATTCTCAGATCTCCCGTCCAGCTGCCTGACTTCTGAACAAATACCAGCAGTTCTCCGAGGATAAATCGGACTTGGCCAAGTCTAACCCCACCCTGCGTTTCTCTCCCTTATACTACTTCCTTCTGGAGGTACAGACTTCCAAACCCACAACCAAGGGTGGACTGTTCCGCTGGAAGAGCTTTGCAAATACACACATGGAAGAAAGTCTTCTGGGCACGGAGTCAAAGGAATGGAGCTCCGGTCCAGGCTCCAGGACTTACGAGCTGGTGACTTGGAGCAACAAGGAGTCATGATACTGACAGTCGCAGAGCCGTTACGAAATCTAAGAGTCATGTAAGTGAATGAATGGCCTGGAGATGTCCCTGGCACACAATAGGCTCTTGACAAAAAGCAGATGTGACTGGCGGGGTTTGGGGTACACGGGTCCAGTGTAACTGACCAGAAACGTGGCAGGCACCATTCCCAGGAGGACTGTCAGGCCCCTTCGTTGTGTTTAATCCCACAGGTCGTGTGGGCATTTACTCAGAGCTAAGCACTAACAATGACCGTAATTCTCGCTGGGCACTGTGGGAGAAAGGGAGGGAAAACGGAATTATTATTCTGTTGCTGACTGCCTCCTGATGTGAGCAGAGGAGACAAGCAGTGTATAGAGAGCACTAGGGTCTGGGCGGCTGGAGTGGCAGTGCACCAGAAAGCAAATAAAAAAGCTAACACCTTATGTAAATGGCTCTTCGCACTTTTAAAAGGACAAGCAGTGAAAAAGAGCAGGTTAAATCCCGCCTCCTTCTGCAGCAATGAAATTCCACTGGCTGTAGGTCGGCCAGATCTCCCAGGGCTGGTTACGGCTTCTGAAGCAAACCAAACCCCGACCTAACTAGGCAAGCAGGCAGGAGGAATATTCATAGTTCTCAGCCTTGAA